AAATCTATACACACAATACAAAGAAAGTTACAACAATTTTAATACAGTAGGTGCTCATGATTTTTATGCCCTCAAAAAAATGCAGTGACATGGAAAACAATTCTATAAAGAATTTGGTGGGGTAAAGGTTTTAACATTCTTTTGTCTGAGTCCCACATCTGATATCATTTCTGAATATCATGAGCAGTGTAGCGAACATAAAACCAGAGATAAAAATTTTTTCTCTCAAGTGTTTGAAGTCACTGACTTATTTGTATCAACTTTGAATACCTGTTAATTCCTCATAGATTATTACAGAAAAAACTGGCTATTGGCAAAAGAAAGTGATTCAGTTTTAACAAACTTTGGCAGAATTCAGGAGTAAAAACAATATAAACATTTCTGTATAAATAAAATACAAATTGTTTTTAAACTTGATCAACAGAAATAGAGAAAAGCTTCTCTCAAAGCAGACGCGTAAAAAATATTCAGTTATCTTCTCTTAATCCTACAACTTTAGAGCTCACTTGAATTTTGGCTGATGGTGATTTTTGTTTATTTTGTTGTTTGTTTAGTAATAGTAGTACTAGTAAAAGTAGTAGAAGTATAGTACCTATAATTATCTGTGCACTTTGTAAAATAAGTATCTTCGCACATGAAATGCATGGTATCCCAGAATTAATTATTTCAATGAAATCAGGCAAATGTTTAAAAAATCTGACACAATTTTATATTTATTACTTAATTATGATACAAAACAAATAGATTTAAAAATCTTATGTCAAAACTTTATTGAAAACTTTCAACATTTGCTCTGTCTTTATACCTGCAATTTTCAGGTATATAGACAGATTTGCAAAGCACATTTTGAAGCATTTCGGGATTTATCTCCTACACTGCATACTGAATGTTTTCTTTAAGCTCAGCTAGACTTTGTGATAAACCTTTGTTTTTATGAAACCCCATGTAAAGAAATCCAGGGGTATCAACAAAGATCTGTTCTTGTGTATTCGTTATTAATAGGGCTCTGAAAGGGAAAGAAAATAAAACTATAAAAAAAAAATTGATAGTTATAAACAAAATTTGAAATTTATGCACTTATATTTTGCCAATAGCCAGTTTTTTCTGTAATAAACTATAAGGAATGATGAAAAGAAATAAAGCAAGTCTTTAAAAACTTGTCCAATTTCACTGAAATTGATAGTTCATTCTGGGATACTTGTATATATGGAAATGCATGATGTGGATTAATAGTATATATATATATATATATATATATATATATATATATATATATATATAGCTGGCCACTTGTATTCAAGGATACTCATCTACTAGGGTGGCTAGCCAATCCCTATTGCAGATGCTTGCTCAGGTGCATTTGTGTTTATTCAACACCCACAAAACCCACCTGTGTTTTAAACTGCAACTATATTGAGCAGACCTTAGTTACAGTTTCTGGGAAAGAGTGTTATCTAGCATGATCAACAATTTGAACAAGGCCAGCACGCTCAAACCCTCATGCTAACACAGCTATCAACAGCCCACAAAGGTTCTGTCTACCCAATTTAACTTACAAGGCTTGGGTCAACCTGTGGTATGGTTTTCAGGTACTTTCCAAAGGTGCTACATGCTAGGATTGACCCCTCCAGTCTGATAACATCAGGAAGCCTACTTCCTGACGAATCGACCATGGCCAGATTTGAACCTGGGTCTCATGGTCATAATGCAAACATTCTAACCATTCGGCCATGTGCCCACATGAATTAATAATAACAAAAGCAATAAACCAGTATTTGAAATAAAGAAAAATCTTCCCTGGTTTTAAGTTTCATTTGTTCAGCATTAATTTTTCTTATTTAAGAATAATTGCCACTATTCATTCAACTTCACTATTACTCTGGTAGAAAATATATATCAGTTACTAAATTCTTTTTTATATGCTGTGTTCCCTCAGGACGTAGGCAATCATGGCTCTCCACAATTTCTGTCCTATGTAGCTCTTAATAAATACTGTTTTTTTGTTATTTCTCTTAAACCTTGTTCCACCATTTACCCAAGGATATTTAGATAGTTTCAAAAAAATGCATATCTATATTTTTAAAATCCTATGCATTCACATAGTCATAAACATGAGACTCGTAAACCATTAGTTATAGGAGCACTACATGTACTACATCTGCAGTAGCGGTGATGTTTCTTGGGCAAGATAGCTTGACAGAACCCAACCCTCTTTAGGCTGGTTTAAATTCAGAGTTTTCCTTTTCTGAGATTAATCACCAATGCTATAGAACCCAGTCTATCCTGCTATTTACCCATAGGTGGGGGGAGAAGAGATGGAATCATATCTTTTACAAGAGTATTAGCACATAAGTAAATGTAATGAACTCAACTGGAATTTGAACTCTGCTCTCTGATTCCACAATCCTAGCCACTATCCATTACTCTACTGTACCTCCAATTCACATATTACTTTCATTCAATTGTTCATATCAGTCCACAATAGAACATGAGCTTATGCTTTGTTATAAGTTGTTGGTACCAATGAATGACTGCAAAAACATCTTCCTTCCAAATTTATAGACAAAACAAACAGATGCATGCTGGGATTTCTTCCTAGCCAATAAGATAGGCCACTTCTCAGTCTCATCCACCATATTTCTGTTCTTTCTTGTTTTTGAAGCTAGAATACTGTGATCACATGTTGGTATCCCATTTTGTATGTTAATACCATTCTTAGTTTGGAAATTTTTTTTGCTGTTGCTTTGCCTACTTTTTTCTTACATATATTGTTTGCTTGGTATTATTTTTGCCCTTTCCTTTCTTTTGTTATTGTTTATTGCAAACTTTGTCACTTTTGTTTGTTTGGCATTTCTGCCAATTACATTTACTCTGCATACATCTTAAACTGATTTTGCTTTTTTTCTTAAAAAAAAAGATACTAACTTTGCAATGGCTACATTTTTATCAAGTAAAATCTAATTATGCATCAGGCTGATTGTGTATGAAGAAATATTTATATTTTGTTTTGTTTCATCTCTTTGATGATTGACACAATTTTTCTCACTCGGCTTATTTTATTCAGTGAAAGATTGGATGCCTGATAGGCATCAACTTAAGAAATAATCAGCTACATTTTTTAGATTTGAAAAATCTATTGCAAATCATCTCATTCATTTGAACTTTATTATGAACTATCCAAGACATAGAATTGTAAAAGACATGGTATTGTGAATTTGAAAAATATAAACTACCTTTTATGGGGTTGGTAAGAGCAATACTGGAAGATCATGTGAGAGTACACCTCCTGGATGTTTGAAAGGTTATATGATTAACACTTTGTATTATAGGGATGGGGATCAATATTGAAAGGTCAGCTATGTTGATGCTTCCTAAATAGGTTGCTTTCTAACGTGGCAAGGACTGTAGAGATTCATTGATACACCCAGTAACAATGAAAAGAGAATTTAAAAAATATATTTTTGTATTTGGAAAGTTATGCTCTTAATATTTCCTGTTCTAGATTTTTTTTTCTTGTTCTTTTTTAATTGTTATTCAGCTGATAGGAGGCCAAAGAGCCACAATGTAGAGAGGTTACTAATGGGGTTATTGTAAGAGGTGTAGTAAGAAGTACATATTATGAGGATATGTCGGATAGATAACAGTTGACCCTAGACTTGAAGAGGTTAAGACTGGAGTTATTGATAAACCATCCTCTTGGGAGTCTTTCACAAGGTAGCAGTTCTTGGGGGAAAATCTGTCCAAATGGAACTTCCTTCTTACTAGTGGAATACAAAGGGAATAAAAAAAAATTTGACTCTAAGAGGATAGCATAGCAGGTCTGTAAAAGTCTGAACTGGTGGAAGTAAGGTATGTAGTTCATCAGAACATTTGGAAATAGTAATAGTGACTTGCAACATTTCATCTGTAGGAAAAATAATTCATCATCCACATGGCTATGTAGATGCTTTTAAACTCTATCAAGACTGGAGAGTGAGAATTGGGCAGCTCCCATCTAGATATGGCAGCAAAACTCCATTTTGGGGTCTGATCTGAATCTTGTAAAGATAGAAACTAGCAGTAACTTTTCAAATAAGTTTTAGAAAGTTACTGCCAGCACCAAAAGAGTTTAAGAAAAAAAAAAGAAAAAAAAAGGTCTCTTCTCTTTTATTGTGCCTCATTCCAAGCTTAATGTCACCTTACTCAATAAATATCTTTTCCAGACCCTGATGATAGAAGGTAAACTACTTTGATCTAGGCTTTCTGTTTATAAAAGCTTACAAAGGAAAGAAAAAGGTTGATTTCAGAAGCAGCTTTTCCCACTATAAACAAGTAAGGTCATGACTGGAAGAAAGGAATTTTGGTTTAGAATCTTGTATATTAAGCCCAGCTTTTGTCTGGGGAAGTTAATCTCAGGGGGGTAGTCAGAAGACACTCAGTAATGTTGGGACATGAAAGCTGGGATATTCATTGCATTTTTCTGCCATATTGTTAATTGTTGATTTACTTAACTAACACTAGTAGATAACTAAGTTGAGATAAGTTGATAAAAACACATACCTATGCTATTTTGTGGAACCAGCTCCCAAAAGGATGCTTCCATGAACACTACAACCTTAACCAGTTCGGGTCTACTGTTAACCATTCTTCCCTCCCATATCACCATAAACCGTACCTCTTACTCTGTAATCCTCTACCTCAAGCGGCTCTTGTACCTTGTCGTGGGTGAACATTATTGTAAAAATAAAAACAATTATAAGCTAAATGAATGCAGACTTCATATACCAAAAAGGGCTGTTTGATGTTATTCTTAATGGATGTACATTAATGACCTATCTGCTTTATGTATCAGACTTCTTTTTTTCTTTTTTTTTTTTGTCCCTATTTCTAGAACTATTTCTTTCTTACCTGACATTATCCTCTATTGAAGTAAATTGACAATTTCATAATTTGTTTTTGTTTTAATGATTTTAATATGTCTTTCCTGTAAATATTCATACTTTCCTTTTTGTTCTGTCTAGATCAAAATGCAAACATGTTTCGAGAAAATGAACAATACAAAGCTGAGTTAATGAATTTAAAACAACAACTTCAGCAGCAACAGGTTGGTTCAGCATTGTCAATTAATTTGTGTGTTATTTTTTATGCATTTTTATTCATGTTTTTTATGTTTAACAATTTGGCATGGAACATAATGCCAAAATAATGTTTTTTTTACAGCAATCCATTTTCATTTATCTCCAATGAGATTTTTTACTTTAAAGATAAATTCAGTTTTCTTTATCTGTAAAACCTTTTTCTATCAAGTAACTTAAAAAATACAATGACATTCTGAAAAGCATTAATCTTTGAGCAAACAAGAGGATAAATTTTCTTGATATTTGAAATTCTTATCTTTACCTACCAAGCATAGCCCAATTAAATTATTTAAAAAAAACAAACAAAAAGGTGCGAAAAACGTGCATCTCTTTTAGAAAATCTTTAACTTTTCTAAACAGATTTAATAATTAAAAAGAAACTATTTGCTATTTTTTCCTCTCATCCTCTCTCTCTCAGAATGGAATGTCTCTTAAGGATATAAATGATCATGGTTCTCCACAACTTCCTATACTTTAATATGTGCAAATTATCATGATTTCAACAGTGGTTTCTTGTTACTTCTGAATTCAGAAAAGTCTTTCTCTTAGACTGGTTGCCACTAATGGCTAAAGAGCCTATTCTACCCTGCTATTTAACTCATAGATGTCAGGGAGATGAGATAGGTTCATGCCTTTCTCAAGGGCATTAGTCTGAAGTGAATACAGAAGGCAAGGCAAGAATTTGAATTCAGTTCATCAATATACTCACAGGACATATTGAAGACAAGGAAAACGGAAGAAAGCAGCAAATGACCTACCTAACAATCTTGTCTAAATTGGTTGCCAGAACAGATTAGGAGAGATAGCAAAATGACAAACATTGCTAAGAGCTATAAAGGACAGGAAGTTGTGGAGGACCATGATCACCCACGTTCTGAAGAGACATGGCACATAGAAGAAGAATTCCACTTCTGCATCAATAATTATTACTGTACTTATCATTTAAAAAAAAATTGAACCAAAGGTAAAACAAAAATTCTTAACACAAATTTCTGAAATATTCAGGTACCAAAGAGGAAAAAATGGTGGGTGTAGGAACAGTGTTATCACTATAGTTTAAATAATCTTTTCTCTACCATTATCACTCTTGCGCTTTATAATGCTAATAAGAATGTTAATAATAACAACATTAATTATATCCAAAGTAATAATATTGAAGACAATGCTAACATCAAAATTATTATAATAGAAATATGACCTTTTATAATAATTGTAGGCTTAATGATAATAATAATATTGACATTTTTAATTGGTCTGATTTATTTGAACTTTCATCCCACACTGTTTTCCATAACCACCGTAGCCACAAAATCCTGATAATTAAACCAGCAACAAATCTTCAGTTATTCTATCACTCTTTTCTCTTTACTAATTTGTTTTGCTATTTTTTTATTTCACTATCTAATAATAATCTTGTTATTTCTTTTGGCTATAGCACTTTCAGTATTAATGCAATTTTATAAGTAATTTTCTGCAGCTTATCTTTGCAATAATGAGATGGGAAAAAAACTAACTGTAAAATAGTAATCATCATCATCATAAGTAATCAAATATTTTTACCAAATGTGTTTTTTCAGCATTACTATTATTTTCTATTTGCTTATGCTTATTTTGTTCTATTAAATAATTTATCTGTTGCTTGTGTTTTCTATTTCACAATTACTGGTACAAGAATTCATGAAATATAAAATATTACACAACACCTGACTGTTCCTGTGATTTAAATGGAGCAATAACATGGCAATTATTTTAATCCCCAGTCAATCTTTTGCTAATCTACTTATTTCAATGCATATTAGTGAAACAAGTGTATTGTCACTTCTACTTTATTGCTTTATGTCCTTTGATCAAAATCTTATAGTTATCAATAATTTCTAAAGTACTTTGGAAAAATTAATTTTAAATAATAACATTTGTCTATTAATTAAAAAATATATACAATTCTGGTCATTTGGAGATTTGATTTTGTTTTTTTTTGTTTTGTTTTTTTTTTTTTTTTTTTTCATATTTTTACTAGCATTTGGAAAGTAAATTTAGAAAAATAAAATAAGTGTGTCAGAAAATGCAAAAGATATTTGCCAATAAAAATGTTTTTCTACCATTTCAGTAATATATCACAACATATTTTAATACTGATTAAATTAAACTGTTCATTCAGAAATGAATTGAAATCGAATATAGATTAAATCTGATAGAATGATAAAATAAGGAACAAATAGAAAACGTTTATAAATATATTAAATTATGAACATTTCTTATTTGTTCCTTATAATTCAGAAATGTGAATTGTTCTTTTTTTTTTTATGAAGAATTACTTGAAAATTATACTTAAGTCCTATTTTTAGATTATTTTTGTTAAAGATTAAAATTATTGAAGCTCTATAAATAAAATTTAAAAATTGAAACCTTAAGACATGAAGATAAGACATGTTTTTAAGATAATTTATTTAACCTATTCACATTTTGTAATTTTTTTTTTTTTTTTTTAAACAAAAAATTCCAAGTTGGTCACCTTCAATTATTTTCAGTTCTCTAGTTATCTCTTGCTCAAATTTCATAATTAATTCAGCAATTATAAAATCACACATGCACGCATCCATGTAATCTTATTTTTAATAATTAGATGAAGTAATTTAGTAATACTAACTTACTGAAAGCCTGTAGATGTTTAGTTATTTCTTATCTAGATCAATTACTGTTGTTATAATCCTATTACAAAGTACCTGACAATAACAAAAATATAAACTTGTTAATCTGACAACAATAATCTACAAAGAATACAACTCAGAAAAATATTGATTTATAATCTATATTTGATTATCAAACAAGTAAATGTAGTTGGTTTATATTTCAGTGTTTATTTATATCTCAAGTATTCTAATGTTAACAAGATTATTTATACTCCTTTTCTTTTACTTTTTTTTTTGTCTATTAAATTACTTCAGATGTTTATGGATATAATTACATGTGCTATAAACATCAATAGAAAATCCCAGTTTTAAAAAATGTTTTCTTTTAAGTATATAGTCAGTATCGTATATTACAAGGGACTATTCATTTCTTCTTTGTTGCTCATGCATATTGAGTGAATATAAGAATAGTAAGGGTGATGCTGTGCAACATATATTACAATAATTCAATGCTAATTCAATAAAATAAGGCTTAAGGCCATCTCACATTGAAACACCAGTTCTCATATGATCACCAATGTTATGCAATGTCAAGATTGGTCAGTACCTAGAGGTGTGACCATTTAGGAATACCAGATGATATAAGCTTGGATGTACAGGTGATGTAATGGATAATGACTCTGAATTGGAAATCAGAGAGCTGAGTTCCAATTCCAGTCAGGTTCATTATATTCACTTACCTGCCAATTCCCTTGGAAAAGGTATGAATCCAACTCTCCTCCTCCTCCTCCTAGCTATCGGTTAATCAGTACAACTTGTATCACTAAATTATTATTATCCCCCACCCCAAATTCTTACAATCTAAAAATATTTTTTAACTTTAAATAACCTGCAAAAGGTTGATAAACCATGGAAAACAAATCAACCAATAAAAAATAATTCAACAAAATATGGGTCGATCAATACTTAAGTTTACTATAGTCAGGAAAATGGTAACTTCATTTACATAAAAATAGTGTATTTTTTATGTCATTTTGAAATGACTTTACTAGAATTTGTCATTGTCAACTTTTATTAGTGACTTTTTCTTTTTTTAAATCAAAAACCATATGCAAAATACAGCAATACATTAGTTTTATTAACTTATTTTTTATCTTCTATGACAAATATCTATTGACTTTCTTAATTATCACAATGACACAAACAGCATAAAATGATTTAAAGCTGAAACTGATATTACTTGTATTGTTTAAGATTATCAACTTTTATCACAACCATTTGAATTTCCTTACATAGCCTATTTGTGACCTTGAATTCAATTGGTGATGGTGTTAAGTTCATAATATAATTTCATGAAAACATTACAGAAAATTAAGTTCAATTTTCTGTGGGATAATTATGCATATTAGTGTTACTAGCTGAAAAAAAATATTACAATAAATATATTTTATGCTTTAAATAGATCAAATTAAATTTGAACTAACTTGCAGCCATTTGGTTTAGATCTGTCATTTTAAAACTAGTTTATAAATATATTATTACTATTGAAGTTTCACTTTTTCCTGCATTACATAGAATGCTGGGAAAGAGATTAATTATTAATATTAGAACATCTTTATATCTTTGAGATGAGGTATTGTAACTATTTACACTATTTACTGTTGTTCTCATCTTTATTACCACATTTACAATGTTTCGGCTGTTGTATGCTTCAGCCTTCTGCAGGTGATATTTTTTTTAGAATTTCAAACCAAACCCAGAATAGTCAATCTGTATGTTGGCATTTCTGAAGATTGGTTCAATGACATTTGTGTAGACGTTCTTTCCATGTTTATTTCCTGAAATGGGCTGACATATAACATTCACATTCCTGGGTTGCTCAGTAAAGTCACTGAGAATCTGTTCCATTTCCTTCACGCACCACTTGCAAATATCGTGACATGGATATTTGCAAGTGGTGGGTGGCAGAAAGGGAACAGATAGTGTCAATCTTTATATCTGTTTTAATATTATTTTAAATTCTTTTTGTTTTCTAAATTAGAAAAAAATAAAATAATGTGATAGGAATAAATAGATACTCCTGATGGTCATATATAATGTGAGTATTGTATGTCAATTACCATCGCTAGTTTTCTGATTTTACTCTCTAATTTTATTTTGTTAACCTTCAGTTAATCTTGTTTTTCAGTTACAGAATATTGTTATACAAAATTAATTTTATTTCTCTGCTTATTTAGCAAGAGACTTTTGATGGTTGGAACCAGGTGGGACAATTAAAGAAAACAGTTGAGCATTTACAGGTTATTGAATCTTTTCTTTGTCCAGTGGTCTTTCTT